GGCTGCCAGCCGCCATCTTGGCTGGCAGTTAATTTGCATATCTCGCTGATTAGCCAATGGGAAGGGTAGCGGTCGTATGCCAATTACCATGTTTCTCTTTTATTAGATAGGATGGCACTGAGAAACTGTGCTATGAAGCTAAGCTACAAAGTTAGAATAAACTGACGCTTCCATGGACACATAAATGACAACTTATAATGACCTCTTCTAAATAAAGCAATAAACTAATTTAATATTATAAAGAATTTAAAGAATGAGGTAGCTCATTCTATAGGTAGCTTAAGTGAGAAATATTACACATATGCCAATGTTAGCCTACGTTATTCTTTCTGGAAGTTTGAAAGATAAAAATGACATGCAAATGAAACATGCCAATGACTGAAATTATTTACTGTATATTCCATAACAGATCCACCAAATACTGGAATAAAGGCTCTGTAATCCTCACTTGTCAGACAGGATGACCATTTCACTCTTCCTTCCTTTAATAAGGATGCTCCAAACCTTGAGGTATATGTATTAGCATCTTTCCATTCCAAACAAGATCATAAAAACAATATTACCCTTCTCAAAGGATTGTTCTGAGAATTAGCTGAGACAATATAAGTAAGCAGTTTGAATGGTGTCCGGGACCTACTAAATGTTAGTTATTATTGGACCTTGGTCATCAGAGGATAGAAGCCATTTTTAAATCAAAATTGAATAAAAAGTAGAAGATGTGGAACTTGAGTTCTTTATACTATTAGTTTTCTGCTTTATTTGGAGTAAAACAAATAGTGAAACACGATGATTGTGTGACGGTGACTCTCTCTGTCTGACCTATCACTGTCCACCTCTCCGTTTATATGAGGATGTCCTATTCCTCATATAAAGTGTAATAAATAACAGTCATATTGTGGAGAGCTACAAGGAGCAGTCTTAGGTAGGACTCTTCACCTGACGGTATCAGTACAGACTTGTTGCTTGACTGCCCAGCAGGGAAAAGTGAAAAAGTATAGATAATACAAGGCGAAGTCAGCAATCTTACAGAGTAATAAAATGTTTTGTCACCTATACTCTGCTGAACATAAAATGTATACCCTAAGGCAGTGGTCGGCAAACTCATTAGTCAACAGAGCCAAATATCAACAGTACAACGATTGAAATTTCTTTTGAGAGCCAAATTTTTTAAACTTACACCATATAGGTAGGTACATTGTTATTAACTTAATTAGGGAGCTCCTAAGGCTTAGGAAGAGCCACACTCAAGGGGCCAAAGAGCCACATGTGGCTCGTGAGCCACAGCTTGCCGACCACGGCCCTAAGGAATGGTGTTTTCCACTGACTCATCTGGTAGGAATCATTTATAGGTAACACTTACAAGTAACGTTTACAGGCACCAACAACATACGGCCTTTCCTTCTAGGTGACAAAGTGATTCCTCTCTACATGCCTCAATGTAAAAAATGCAAGTTCTGTTTGAGTCCACTCACAAATTTCTGTGCAAAGCTCAGGTAAGTGCTACACACTGTCAGTGAGAGTATGCATTGGTACCAATATTTTGGGCAGAACATTGGCCAAACATAAATGGAGTTGAAGGTGCGCATATTTCTACCCACCAATTCTACTCAGGTGAGTGCAAGGAACTGTTGCAAAATCACCCAGGAAGATGTGTGCTAGAATGTTCATTGAAACATTGCTTATTACAGCAAACAATTGAAAAGAGCACAAATGTCCTTCGATAAGAGAATAGGTGAACACAGTGATTTTCAACCTTTTCCATCTCACAACACACATAAACTAATAACTTAAATTCTGCGGCACACCAAAAATATATATTTGTGCCAACCTGACAAAAAATATATAGGTATATTTTTCTGGGTGGGGGGGAACATATGTAATACTTTCAATAATAAAGAATTGTTATATTATAAATACATATAATTTTGATTCAGTCAGCTATTGTTGTACTGGCTGTTGCCATTTTTTTATTCAACAATCTAAGGGAAAAAAGGTCAGTGCCCCTGACTAAATAGTCAGGTGTTGCAGGTTCTAAAAACTTCTGCAGCACACCAATGTACCGCAGCATAATGGTTTAAAATCACTGGATTAACAAATTGCTATGTAATAACACAACAGAATACTATTTAACTACACAAATGGCTAAACTTGATCTATATGTATCAGCATAGAATACAGTATTCCCCCTTACCTATGGTTTCACTTTCCAAGGTTTCCGTTTCCCATGGTAAACTGTGATCTGAAAATATTAAATGGAAGAATCCCGAAATAAACAATTCATAGTTTTAAAGTGCATGCCATTCTCAGTAGTGGGATTTCATCCCACCCCATCCCATCCCTAAAGTGAATCATCTCTTTGTCCACCTTATATGCCCCCAGCTCATTAGTCACTTAGTAATCATTTTGGTTATTAGGTCCACCACCATGTTATCTCTGTGCCTCTGTTCGGGTAACCCTTATTTTACTTAATAATGGCCCCAAAGTGTAACAGTAGTAATGCTGGTGATTCATATATGCCAAAGGGATTTGGCAAACTACTTCCTTTAACTGAAAAGGTATGTACATCTGGGGGTGAAACTATATATATAGGGTTCAGTACTATCCAGGGTTTCAGGCATCCACTGGAGGTCTTGGAACATATCCCACAGGGATAAGGCGGGACCACTGTGCTCTCATACAAATAACGTTGAGAGAAAGCAGCAAGTCGCTGACAGATATATTTAGTACGGCATCACACACAAAAACAATATCATATATTGTTTATGGTTACTTGTGTATTAGTAAAGGTATAAATACATCACTGGAATGATAAATGCCAGATTCAGCATAGCAGCTACCACTATGGAAGAGGAGAGGAATGCAATGAGGCACAGTAGAGTAATTTATTCCAAGGCCACATAGGTATGTCTTAGGACTAAATTTTGAATCTAGGCCATTAGCTGCAGAGTCCAAAAATGTTAATCACTTTATTCTTTACTGTTCTGAGACTATAGAAAGGTTCTTTTGTCCTTAATGCTAACTGACACTAGCTATGGGACTACTCTTACATCTATTACTGTGCCTCAATTTCCTCATCTATGAGATGGGGATAGTACTGCTGCCTATTTCACAGGGTTGTTGCAGATGTTCAAAGAATCAATAGATGCTTTTGCAAACCTTTAATGAAATAACAAATTCAGACAATGACCATCAATTTTTCTGACATCACAAAAAGACAGATAAGGTATGTGCCTCTAGATGAAAACATACACCACCTATGAAGTACTCCTACAAAAATTTAAAACCCAAATCAGATCAAGAATTTAGATAAAAGAAGCTAGAGGAAATTTAGGGATGGAGAAACACGTTAAACCAGATTACAGCAATGTAATCAGAAAAATCCAGAATGAGGAAAATTAAACTGCAAGGAAAAAAAACAAGGGGGGGAGGTGAGAATCTGTCAGTTAAAAGGGATATAAGAAACATATCCCGGAGCTCCAGTGGCGCAATCGGTTAGCACGCGGTACTTATAAGAAACATATCCAACTAGATGCCATGCATGAGTTAGAACAATCTTTATCTTTTAGAGATAAATGCTGAAATATTTACAATGAAATAGTGATGTCTGGGATTTCTTCAAGATAGTCCACAATAGGGAGAGAGTAGGTGGTGTTGTTGAAGGATATAAGTGAATTATAGACGACACTAGATCAACCATGACTTGCTAATTGCTGAAGCTGGGAGATGCTTACATGGAGTTTCATTCTGCTATTCTTTCTACTTTTGTATTTGTTTGGATTTTCCATAATAATTTTTTTTAAAGAATCAATACATGGTTTGGAAACAGCCTAAGTGCCCATCAGCAGATGAGTGGATTAAAAAAACTGTGGTACATCTACACAATAGAATACTATGCCGCTATAAAAAGAAGGAACTTTTACCATTTGCAGCAGCATGGATGGAACTGGAGAGCATTATGCTAAGCGAAATAAGCCAGTCAGAGAAAGATAAATATCACATAATCTCACTCATAGTGGGATATAATGATCAACATAATTTGATGAACTGTTGGGGTCCAGTCCCAGCAGGTCCAGGGGTTCCCAAAGGTGTGGACGGAGTCGGTGAAGGAGGAATGACATGGAGGCAGCGTTCAGTTGATTAACATGGTTGGGTTCTCTCGCCTGGTTCTATCCAGGATCTCCAGCCAGGTTCTGTGTTTATTGTCTTGTTACATCTGTATTTATACCAGTTGATTTTAGTCCTATAAATTCTATTCCAGCTGAAACCGGTTTGGTTCAGTGGATAGAGCGTGGGTTGTGGGCACATTCCCTGTGGGAGATGTGCAGGAGGCAGCTGATCGATGTTTCTCTCTCATCGATGTTTCTAACTCTCAATCTCTCTCCCTTCCTCTCTGTAAAAAATCAATTAAATATATTTTTTTTTAAAAAATTCTATTCCAAAGGTTAGGGTGTTTCTTATCTCCATTCCACAATTATTCTATTGTTCCATTAAACTACAAGGAAGTAACTGAAGGAGATTATCCTAAGTAAAGATTATGTAGCTTAAGCATGATTGTTCATAATTAAAGTGATTAATTACCCACCTGGCACTTAGTTAAGGGGTTTCATTCCCTCCCTAACTACAGGGAAAAATCCCCGCCTGGAGAAACAACCTTTCTCGGAGAGGTGACCTTGGGTAAAACACATAGCGCTAAGAAGGGGAGCAAACATATTAAGAACAGTACGCCATATACACCAGGTCCCTTGAAACATATGCTGTGCAGAGGTTTCTTCCCTGCAGGGACTGTGTCAAGCAGCAAGGATGGACTGGCTTCCGGCAGTAATGGAGTCCATACTTATGTACCAGAATATAGTAAACTCGTTATTTGAACAGTTCAGCGAAAGATTCGACCAATTTAGAAGCCTACAACAGACCATTAAAATAATTAAGTATCTGGATGTAGTTGTTTACAGAACTTTGGAATTAAAGGATTTCCAATGGATGCAAATTGACGATTTAGAGATGCAACTTGCAGATTTTCAAGGTAGCATTTGGACTCGTGTTTGTCGACTTAAGGTCGAAACTTGAAAATCTGGAACGAAATCGTTTGAATAATGAAGAAGAGTGCAACTATGAACAAGAAATTTTGAGGAACATAATCCGATGAACAAAAATAGATCCAGAGATGGAGAAACATTGATCAGACCATCAAACCTCAGAGGGAAGGTAGGGGAGGGTGAGGGAGGAGGGTAGAGAGCAACCAAAGGACTTGTACACATGCATATTAGCATAATCAATGGACACAGACACTGGGGCAGTGGGGGCTTGCCCAGGGTGAGAATGGCTGGGGGGAGAGGGTCAATTGGGGAAAAAAGAGACTTATGTAAAACTTTAGCCAATAAAATATTTTAAAAAGAATCGATATATGGTGCTCGCTTCAGCAGCACATATACTAAAATTGGAACAATACAGAGAAGATTAGCATGGTCCCTGCTCAAGGATGACACACAAATTCATGAAGCGTTCCATATTTAAAAGTCTGCTTGGATGTGGGTTTTCAACTGGCTATGGAGCTGCAATCAACACTGCCAAGGTAAAATGCTTAATTACCACGTTCTATAAAACAGAAGTTATTAGGAGTCAGCGTGATAAAGCAGCTAGGATTATCTTCAAACCCTGGTTCTGTAGTTATCATCTCTGTGATTTTAGGCAAGTTATCTAAACTCTTTACTTCTACTTCTGTATAATAATATCTATTACAAATTACTGTGGGAAAACTAAATTGTATTGCATATGTAAGACATCTGGCCCAGTGGGTGACATATAGTTGGCACCAAATTCATGTCCATTTCTTTTCCTATACCAGTATGTTTTATTATAGGTCAGCCCTAATTAAATAACAGCCTGCTTAAATATGTCCTCTAAATATGAATCCTCATCCTGAGACAGCAGATCCAGTCAAGAGATGAAACAAACTGCAGAGACCCCACCCACCTCCACATGGCCACGGCCTACTTTCTCCCTGATGCACACAGGGATGCTACTCTTGGCCTCCCTCTGAAACATCACTTTTTCATTCATTCACTCACTCATTAAAGAAAATGAAAAGTTGTATGGGAAGCCAAACTATAATATGCAAGCTCCTGGAGGAGAAAGGTGATAGTTGGGTGGAGTTAACAGCCCAAGTGACCTTGGCAGTCAAGGCATATTCTCCTGTAGATGGCATTGGATTCTCAGGAGGAATTATTGCTCTTTGGGCTACACACATCCCCTTTTCTGGACGCCTTGCAGACTCTCACCTTCTACTACTGTAATATTTCTTCAGGAATATTGACACTAGAGATTCAGCTACGGTTTACTTTTTTATATATTTATATATTTCTTTATTGATTTCAGAGAGGAAGGAAGAGGGAGAGAGAGATAGAAACATCAATGACA